CCGTGGACGAAGCGGAGTCCATCCCGGGGTCGTCACATGTGGTTGTACATATGACCCCTTTAATACACCGCATGAACTTCTGGGGCTACATGCATTTACATGCAGTTTTATAATTGACAGATCGATAAGAAACGAGCATGGGAGAATATGTGCAGAGAGAAGCCTGATGCGGTTCGAGACCGAGAGCATGAGAGGAACCTACAGAAAATTGCTACTAGGTGAGACATCATTTAGTCAAACAATTCATGAGCTTTTTTCCAGTCTTTTTTAGTATATTCTTGTGTTGTATGATCTCTTTAGAGGTGTGGTGCAGTTGTTCAACGCAGTGAAGAAGCATCAGAAGAACGTGGATGAAAGGATAAAGGAAGTTGGGGGTTCAGAGAGAAAAAAATCCAGAATTCTGTCCTCAGTGACTAAGAAGGACTTCATTGATGTCTTGAGAGGAGCAGACGTGGCTCACAAACCGGCCATTAAAAAAGAGAAAGTGGTGAGATTGCTTATATTTCCCGTGTACACTTAACTGTGTTTCCTCGTCACATGGCACGACGTCCTTGCTTAAACTCAGCATGAAGTCAAAATGTACTTGGGGTGTAACAGTACACAGAAGTCTCGGTTCGGTACGTACCTCGGTTTTGGGGTCTCAGTTCGATACGGGTTCGGTACAACAGGAAATGTTTTCTTTTTTCATTTATTTTGAACAGACAGTAGTGCTACATGTAGCACGTTAAATTTCAAGATTTAACGCAAAAACAGAATGGTCTGACTTTAGATTTGTGAAATGATGCTACATAAGACAGCTGCACAAAACAAAAACAGCAGACGGGCTGAATGAAAATGCAAATTTATTCTCTGACTGCAGGTGGTGCTTATGGAACAGCAGCCATAGAGCATTTCCGTCCTTTATAAGCTGCGCTTATAAACATTAATATGCATTATATGGAGATAAGAGAGAAAGAAAATGCCATCGAAACATTTCTGAGGACTGTCATTTCCTCTCAGAGATACATTCATATAAACCCCCACATATTTGTCTT